TGGCAATTTTTTTTGTTTTTTTTTTTTTTTTTTTTTGTGTGTGTAATGACGAGTACATTCGTCACGCGAACAAAGTATCATAATTACAACAATCTGTTATTTGAATTAAATTCTTTTGTGGAAAATAAAACGTATTTGTAAATCTTGGACGTTTTAAAATAGTCTGAGACTAGACTCGACTAGTTCTTTTTATCATCATTGATATTAATTATTATTAATTAAGTAAAACATAAATAAAATTACTGATTTAAAAAAAAAAACTAGTGTTATTTCCTTGTAATTTGATTCAATTTTACAGCGGCTGCACATACTCGTGTTCGACGAGTATAATCGTCATCGTGTTGTTTTGGCGTTCTCTATAATGTGGATACATACTTTTAAAAGCGGCTAAGAAGTTAACATTCGTCGCGTTGCGACGATAGAATGATGTGGAATAAAATTCCACGTAATGTGACTGTATCCGAAAGCTAATCGGTGTAAATTATCGTCCATTGAGACTAACTTGTGCAAACATAGTTGTCAGAGTCTTCAGTCAGTGGAACAGTTCAGTTGTAACATAATGATTATAATCTTCCAGCAGTTGACGATTATGACAATGAAAGGACATTTGCGTGGCACAAATTGTTTTTAATGAGGAAGAATGAGACCTCCGTGCAATGAATATAATCTCGAAGAAACCGAGTCTGAAAATTTACTTGATTTACATGAATTTCCACGAGCGGATGCTGGAGAGATGATAGATCTGTAAGACATTGATTTACACGTGGAAACAAGTCAAGAACTACTAGGAAATAAAATTCTTCTGGCCAGAGCCAAAAGTCCTTCAGACCAGTTTTTTCTTCTTCTTCTTCTTTTTACAAGACGAATCTTGCAATTCAACTTTTCAAACGAAGAAATCTTACTCGACGCTTTTTTTAATTTATCTCTACACGTTTCGTCCTTTCTCAATTATTCGTTGCTATTCAGTCGAAAGATGGCCGAATCCGCGCGTGTATTCGACTTCGTTGTTTTTCGTGAGTGAAAGAAACGTATACCTCCTTTTCACGAAGAAAGAGAAGGAAAAGAAGATCATCACCTTGGACAGGATCGTAGCAAACGGTGCGTATAATAGGGAAAAGTGAAACGATGTCAGGTCCGCGTTTAAATTCTATTCGAAATCGCTGGCAGCTTTTTAATTGCTGTTCTTTACGAGCGGGTTAATCTATCGCGGCCATTCGTCATCGAGATAAAACGGCACCGGTGGCGCCGCGGAACGCGTTGGCGCTGAGCGCGTGGAACGGGTGACTTCCCTCTCAGGTGGGAAGATCCCGACCGGATGAAATACTGGAAAACGATCGTCGCTGTTTTAGGGACTCGGCCGTTCGTTCGCAATTTATGAACAATTAAAAATTCATGAATTTTTTTCCAGGGGAAATCTGTGTCAGGAAGGCACACGTCCACGGGAACTTTCCGAGATCGTCGTAATTCAAGCCGGCGATACAGAGATATCCAGCATAATCCATAAATAATCTTTCCCATTACTTCACGGCTCCGTCGTCTTATCGTTCCGTATGGCTGATTCTATGCATACTTAAGAGTCTTTTATGCAACGAGACAAGCCTGTGTGTGGCTCGCGTACCTCCTGGCCGGAGATAATCCAACGGTTGAACGCCCATTTACGGCACGCGAATGCCGAGTGCGTGTTCAGCTTTTGTCAGTTCTCTCGCGGGGAGAAAGACAGACAGACTCTCTGTTCTGTTGTCGAGAGAGTTCACGGCGGAGATCGATATCCCGATTGAAAGTCTTCGCTAACGGAACGCAACGCGTCGAAGTGAACGGCAACCGTTCTCTTATCCTCCGATTGTATTATAAGAAAAAACATGTATGAAACAATGTCCCTGAGCAACGACGTTATTAACGCTGGAAGTACATACACTGACGCGCCAAAGTGTAAACACTGCTCGTGTCAGAGGAATTAAAGTGCAAAGAATGGGAGAAGCTTTATGGGGACAGATGCATAGAGAATGGGACCAGATTTATATAAACTCGTCGTATGGAACAAAACACGCTTTATACAGCTCGCTGTTTACACGGTTCGCTGATTCTCTCCTCTACGTTTTAGTGATTTTTCATTCATTCATACGGTGAGAGTTCATTTTGAAATGGATCCGATCAGCGTGGCGTCGTTTGATCGAACCAGGCTGGCTCAGATAAACAATGTCCTCTGCAAACTGTAGAAAATACAAGCATTCATTTTATATTCTACGAATATAAGTCTCGCGAGAACGTAACGTTTCGCATGAAAAATTACAAATTAATTACTTGGATGACTCGAGCAATTTCAGCGTTAAGCTCGTACCGTTTCGAGCAACTTTAACGCGCTGTCGATCAGCTGTACGATACCAAACACCAGCTGATATGCCGGTGAATCCATTAGCGATGTTCGACTGATGAAAATTTCCTTTACGATCGACCGAGGCACGAAAGAAACGAGGATCCAACGGAGCGTCAAAGCTCTTACGCAGGTTGAAAGCAGACTTTGACCCTGGCTCGGCCGCGGTGCTTCTCTGTCGGAGAAAGTCGTCCATTTACGGGCACGTCCCCCCTGTTACACTCCGAGCACTTTCCCATTATGTGTTCTCGCGGGCCTGTGTGAACGCGGAATGCGTAACAACGTTACCGCGTGTCGCGATTAACCGCGAACAGGGCTGAAGCGCGGCAGAGGACGTTGCGCAATCAGAAGAAGTGTCCCTTTTCTCAGAGGGGAATGAATGGAGGAGCATCGAGCAGCATCGTCATTCCTTTTCCTTTCGTTTCGTAATCACTTCGTTTCGTCGTTACACTCCCGAATTCTCCTCTCCTTCGCTTCCGCCTGCGCGGGAACTTACGTAAAACGCAACGTTGCGAAAGCTTTCGCATGATCAATTCAAGCTGATTGATCGATGATTTCTTGAAAAGAAAGCGAGACACCACAGTTGCAGCACCAAATTCTCCTCTTTCTTTTCTTATACGAATATTACATTAAGGTGAAAAAATAATTTTGTGTGTGTGTGTGTGTGT